CCTTACAATTAACAAAATACGTAACTATTTCAATCAGAGTTTCTTCTATGTATGCATATGCATATTACAAATGTATTACATATGCATCTGTATGCTGGATATATGTGCATGTAGGCACCCAGGTGTGTGCTTTCAGAGGGCAAGAACAGTTGTATTCATGCCTATACAACAATACCATTATCAATGTAGTGGTGGATTGGTGCTGCTTTTAAGTTCTTCTGGTCTCTCAGGAAGAAGCACTGGCAATATATTGTGTGGTATTGCTAACCAAAAGGTCAAAGGTTCAAATCTTACAGTTAGCTGCTCCTTGGGGAATTATGGGAGGTCTCATCTCTTTAATATAATGGAAACTTGATAATGGGTTGACTGCACAGCAGTAGATATCTCAGGGGGTCTCTGGATGGTGCAAAGATTTATGCTTGCAATTCCAAAGACACGCAGTTCGAATCCACAGGAAAAAGATGGGCAATCTCCTCCCAGTCTCCCTTGTGATTAATGGTCTTTGAAAATCCAACCAGAGGTTCAGCTATAGGTCAGTGCCAATTCTGTAACTGATTGTACACAACAATATTCTAAAAGGGAGCTCTAGTGGCCTAGTGGTAAGGAGCTGCACTGCCAACGGTTTGAATCCACCAGTTGCTTCACCAAAAAATGATGAGTCCTTGTTTTTCAATGCAGTGTAGTATTCCATTGTGTGAATATACCACAACTTCTCTATCCATTCATTTGTTGATGGGCACTTAGGTTGTTTCCAACTCCTTGCTATTGTGAACAAAGCCGCGATAAACATGGGTGTGCATATATTTGCTTGGATGTCAGTTATGGTCTCTTTGGGGTGTATTCCCAGTAGTGGAATTGCTAGATCAAAAGGTATCTCTGTTTGCAACTTTTTGAGAAAGTGCCATACCGCCTTCCACAGTGGTTGCACCATTTTACACTCCCACCAATAATGAATAAGGGTTCCAGTCTCTCCACAACCTCGCCAGCATTTGTTGCTTGCTGTTCTGTTAAATTTTGCTATTCTGACTGAGGTGAGATGATATCTCATAGTTGTTTTAATTTGCATCTCTCTTGGAGCTAGGGATTTTCAACATTTCTTCATGTACTTGTTAGCCATCTGAATGTCTTCTTTCGTGAAGTGTCTATTTAACTCCTGTGCCCATTTTCCTATTGGATTATTTACCTTTATCTTGTTGTGGTGCTCAAGTATTTTATAAATTCTACATATAAGTCCCTTATCTGACATAAATTATAGGGCATTATGATTCTCATAAGAGTCCGGAATAAAGGTTGTAGAGTGGAGTATACGCGCAGTGGGGGTGAGGGAGGTTGTGCGGGAGACTGTATACCAATGAAGGAATTTTTCTTTTACTTTTCAAAGAGAAGAGCGAACTGGGGGCGGGGAGAAAAGTGCAACAATGAATGAATGGAAATCCAAAATTTCTGTAAATGTTCATTGAAATTAATAAAAACAAACAAAAATGATGAGTCATCTCCTCCCATGAGATTAGCTGCCTCTGAAAAACAGCTGGAGAGTCAGTGATGAGTAGGATCTGACTCCACAGTATATAACAACACTCTAAAGGTTCATGGTTTGAACCCATCTAGAAGTACCACAAAACAAAGGCCTAGAAATTTGCTTCTATAGAGAGCAAAAAACCTTAGGAGTAAGGTGGTTGTTGTTATGTGCTGTCGAGTAACTTCAACTCATAGCAATGCTGCGCACAACAGCTCTGAACTCTGCTCTATCCTGAGCTAACCTTGTCTGTGACACACCCAACCCCAGACACTGAGTCAATCCATCTCATCCTGAGTCTTCCTTTCTTTCGCTGTTCCTCCACCCTCCCAAGAATGATGTCCCTCTCCAAGGACGGGTCCCTCCTTGCAACATGCCTTAAGTATGTCAGACGAAGCTTAAAAATCCTTGTCTCCAAGGAGCAGCCTGGTTTCACCCTCTCTAGGACAAACTTGTTTGTTCTCCTAGCAGTCCGTGGTATATTCAATACTCTTCTTCAGCACCACAGCTCAAAGGCATCAATTCTTCTTCTATCATCTCAAGTCATCATCCAGCTTTCTGATGCATAGCAAGTAAATGCGAAGAGCATGGCCTGGACAGGTGTATGTATGAAAACCCCTATGAAATCTTATGGAGGTTTTACACAATTTTACTCTGTATTGAACCACCAAGAAAACTAACAGGTATGCCCTAAAGGGGGTGACACCAAGCTGCTCCTTGAAGGTAAGGACTTTGAAGCTCTGTCTCATGTACTTTGGGCATGTTGCCAGGAGGGCTTAGTCCTTGGAAAAGGATAACATGCTTGGAGGGGTGGAGAAACAGCACAGGAGAGCAAGACCCTGGAAGAGATGGATTAACATGGTAACTAAGGTAATGGGGTAGGTGTGTCAGAGACAGTGAGACTGGTTCAGGATAGAGCAGAGTTCAGTGCTATTGCGCACAGGGTCACTATGAGTCACAGTCTATTTCATGGCACACAGCGACAACTCTGTACTTAGAGCTGCCATGAGTTGATATTGACTCTATGGCAATGGTGTGTCTCTTAACACCATCTAGCTTCCAAAAGAAAAGAATGACAGCTAAGTGTTCAATCACCACTCAGAAAACCAAGAACTGTGTGTCTGCCTCCACAGTTGACTGTAATCTCAAAGGCTGCCACTGTATCAGCATCATCATGGTAATTCCAGGGTTTAGCAGTATCTGGCACAAAGAAGGAGCTCCACAAGGAAAGAAAGAGGGGTCTACCCCAAAGTCACAGAGCATATCATCCGAGAGGAGATCTGGTGAAATCATTTACAACATTATCTCAGTGGGGAGCTCAGAGGAAGGAAGGAATGAAGTGTCTGAGAAATGTGTGCCAGGCCTCCAGAGACCTCTGGGATGGGGGAAGGGTTGGGAGTGCAAGGCAGAGAGCGACTTCAAACAGGTCTCTCAGCTCCCCGACCGAGCTCCCGGGCAGCAGAAAGGGCTGGGGGCGCGGGCCTGGTGACCCAGGCAAGCAGGCATCAGGAAGGCAGTGGTGGCGGCTGCCCGGCCAGGGCAGTGCGCACCGCCCGCCCGCGCGGCAAATCCCCCAGGGAGGCCGCCGCCAGAGCCCTGGCGC